TCAAAGCACGTGCAACACTGGATCCTTCTGTATCATGGCTAAGGGTCGCAAGGCGGGTGAAGAAACTGGCATTGGTACCAATAATGACTGGCAATTGGGAAGGACCCTGGGGTTCAGGACATACAAGAGCCAGGATGGACAACGGCTCCTCCACACCAGTGACAGAGGCAGGAAATGTGACATCCACGATGATATATCCCTTGTACGGGTAACTGGAAGAACTGAGGCCCCATATGGATAATCCAGTCAACGGGTGAATGGGCACATCAGGCAGATTCTTGGAATACCAGCTTTCAAACACAATCGTCACTTGTGATCCGCTGTCTAACAGTGCTTGACATACACGATCATTAAGCTTCACTTTTACAGTGGATGCCGGTCCTACTAGTCCTTTAGGAAGACGGCTGGATTCATGGATGGTGGTCTGGCTCTTTTTGGAGAAACAGGCTTGGTTTTGAGTAGTTCTATTGTCAGCCGTCTCAGGCTTTCCACCCTTTACCTGCCTCAAAGAACGAATCAGCTTCTGAATCACTTGATCAGAATTTGGTGGCGCTTGACACTTTGTGGCAATATGGCCATCTTCTCCACACTTGTAGCAGAAGTAGTCATCTCTTGTTCGGGCTGACTGGTATCTTAACGACGTGGAAACAGACTGGGATGGTTTTGGCCGCTGCTCTGGAACATGAGGTGAGTATTGAGTAGAACTGACACTCAGAACTGCCAACTGCTGCTGTAAGTGTTGGACCTGTTTCTTTAACTCTTGTACTTCTGAATCATCAGTTTTTTCAGTCTTCTTGAATGGTTTTTCTTTAGTTTCAATCACTAATGATGAAGTAGACATGGCTTTTGGCTCAACTCCCCTTATTTGGGTTCTCAATTCTTGAAGCTCGGCCTTGAGTTCCTGGATAACAGACGTGCTGGCTCTTTCCTCTTCATGGAAATGTATGGCCTTAGCTTTTGCAGACATTCTGTGGCGAGCCGATTCACTCTCCTCCGCCTCACGGATTTCCTTCAGCAGACTCAGGAAAGAAGGTGGGTGATTTTTTCTTTCTCTCAGCCTCAGTTGGAGCAACATCATGTCAGAATTCACAGCCCCTCTAATCAGCTGTTCCACTCGTACTTTATCGACCAGACTGTGAGTCAGTCCATCTCTTTCCACTACTTTGCTGAGGGTCTTCTCCATCCGTCTCAGGAATTCAGACAAGGCCTCCCCTGTTCCCTGGCGCATAAGACGAAACTTGAAGTATAAATCCTCACCAGACTCAGATGATCCAAAGGTGCTCTCCAACGCTTCCAGATACTGTGAGGCACTAGCTTCAGGATCAGAGAATCTAACAGCTCTTACAATGTCCATTGCAGGTCCCTTGAGGCTTTCCACAATTCTGCGTCGTTTTTCTTTTTCGGAGCAGTCACACTCAGTTATCAGCAGCCTGGCTTGATCAATCCAATTTTCCATATTCTCCTCACCCATGGCGCGTATAATTGACTCAGGGGAACTGTCGGTGGCACTGTGTGGAGAAATCAAAGCATGTACATCGCTAAGAGACTTTCCTTCTTCCATCAGGAACTTCGCAAACTTTTCTGTAAAACCTGCAGAAGCGGTGTCAGCAGCCGATGCCTTTGTCTGGATTACTATGACTGGCCATGGCTCTTTCTTGTCTCCCCGTGACACTTCAGGAGGTATGCGCTTTGGGTCGATGGCTTGTCTGCACTCACACAACACCAGCAGGTAATGTGAAGTGGGTCCTTCTCTCGTGTCCCTTACACGAACTCTCCCTAGAGCTTTTACAGCTTCCATCGCCTCTTCAATTTCGGCCACTTCGGTGTGAACGGGTACGTTTAACAGCATTAAAGCATGAGTCTCTTCAATGCTAGCATCTTTGCACCAGTTGGCCAACTCTGCTTGGAGACTGGGGTCTTTTGATAGAGCCATGATGACACTTTATGCACTTTTCAGTTAATTATGATGTAATTACAGGGGTGTGTTGAGCTTAATTCCTCTTTTTCTTCTTTCAGCATCAACTATTGTGTGACTCACAGAGGGAGATCCCGGACGAGCCCCCACTTTATGTAGCGCCCCCTACCTGTCTTTCTTGTAATTAAGTAGGACAGCGCTCCAGATTCATTAACTATATGCCTACAGATGTTGAAGTTAGGCCCCTCTGGTGTCACTAAATGAATTAATTCTCTTTTAGAAAATTAGAATAATAATCTATACTTTCCTTTTACGAAGTTACTCAGAATTAAATCTCTACGCCCCCAAACTGATGAAGTCAACAAACACTTCTGAAAGAATAACACACTGGTAAAAGTACAAAACAAATAAAGGATTTAATTGTAATAGAATGATCAAATGTTAACTGGCTCAAACAATGAGTTTCAGAATGTGAAGTGTTCCCACAATCACATTCACATTAAATGGGACACAATTTAATCCTCGAAGGACAATTTCTCAGATGCCCGACCTACTGAAATTAGTATACAGGTCCAATAGAATCAGTATATCTTAAACCAATGACCTCAATGGGATAAATGTATACAATAACTCACAAATTATACCAAATATACTCTGAATATAAACAATTACATGTTCAGTGCACTGAATAATACTAGAATGTACCAATATTTAATGCGGTGGGCCCACACACACACACACACCAGTCATTGACTCAACCCCACCCCGTTGCAGGCCTGAAACGTGGCTCGTGTTCGTGGTGGCCGGGAAACTGACAAATGGCCCCTTCACTCTCCTGAGCACAAAACAATTCAAACAAAGATACCTCAATTCCACGTGCAATGATACCGCAACTCCGGAATCCTGCAGCAGGCGTCACGCAGCTCCTCGTCCTCTCTCTCCCTCGTCAGCCGACGAAATGCACCTCCCACGCCGCCAGAGGAACCCCAAATAACGCGGGTATTTGGGGCGCTATCTGGTCCTCAAGGTCTCCCTCGTTGTGAAGGGCAACAACCAGGTTAAACAGTCTTTAGTCGGTTGTTTAACTGTCGCTGTAATCAGTTCAGATGCGCAGATATGCGCAGTGATAACTAAACGAAAACACTCGGATTCGCTCCCACACGGCAGGTTAGCCACACAAAACAAAACTATAAAAACACTGGCTACAAAGTCAAAGACGCACACACAAGCAATTCATCTTGGATCTACATTACAGTTAAAGGTTGTTTAACTTATAAAATCGTCAATCAAATCACTCTGTACCCGCAAATGCGTCTCTCTCAATCTCCCTCGCGCTCCCTCTCTCCCTCGCGCTTGTCAACAAAAACTCTCATGTCCCGAACAACCACTCACATTACACAAAACACCAGTGAGGGCGGGACTTAATTCACATAAACCAATAACTAATCAAACACCTAACTTGATGGTTAAAGCCACGTTTTCCACAAGTACACCTCTATCAAACTTGTATCTCATGCACGCGCGCTCTTAAAGGCACAAATACACGTATGATCACAAACAAAGATGAATGGTTAATTCACATTTTCTCTCTTAATTAAACAAATACAAGCTAATAAATTGAAGTAACTTATTAACAACACAGTTATAACCTACTGGGTTACACTTTCAAGTTTAAAAGGCACATTTTTGCTCCTAAGTAAAATTTGTAGAAACCAGACCATTATTTGTGGTTTTAAAGTCAAACGACTCTTTATTGTCAGAACATGACGAACACTTCACGTTTTTTAAAATTCTTTTTTCCTTAACAAAATAAATATCTTAATAGAAAAATGTATTTCTTAGTTTCTGCATGTGCTTACGGGTGATATTGTTAAAGTCATGAAACAGGTTTGTGTTTCCAGACTTTGATGACGTGTATCTTCAGCACAGTTTGCAGTGATGGCTGCAATATTAATAATATTACATGTTTTAGAATGTATTACACTGTTAGAAATGCACACTTGACAGTAGCTTGAGTTGGGATGCAGATGTAAATTTATTTTCATTAACAAAAACAGCAACATCTGTAAAAACTTTAACAACCTAATTTTTAGATGATAAAATTGTAATATTCTTTACTGTTTCATTAAATGTAACCATTGGTCATCCATGGTACTAGCATACATTTAGATCATGATAATAAATGAATTAACTCGTTATCCCTTGGTGCTGTGCTTTGGTGCAAAATTCATTGCATGTTGTTTAGTTCATTTTAAGGAATACATTCCATAATCTCTATTTATAAGTATTTATTTATTTGCACACGATTCTATCAGTTAAACAATATGTTGAAGTCGTATAACTGTTGTCATTTGCTGACCTCGAGGTGTTACCCTGCGTAAATCAAGGGAAAGTGTCAGAAAAATTCATGCACACAGGAAACAAGTGAGTCAAACACAACATGATCAAATGACATTTCTCAAGTCTCTGCCAAAACCAGGTGTAAACAGTGTCAGCGTGAAATCAGTCTGTCAAAGCTTGTGCTGCCGTTCTGCAGATCCTTCTGAAGATATATTACTTTAGAAATACTTTAGTTTTTTTTTTATTTAGCTGCAAAATGTCTAGTATGTCCAACTTTATCTGCATACATGCAGTACTCGTGTGGGGCGATTATATTCTATGTTGCAAATGATATTAGTTAACATGAATAAACTCTATAATATTTATCTTAATGTTAATTTCAACAGTTACTCTTTGTTTTTAAATCAAAATTTCCATTTGTTAGCATTAGTTAATGCACCGTGAACTAACATGAAGAATGGACAGCTTTATTTTTTATAAAATAGCATTTAACAAAGATTAATAAATGTTGTAAAAATAAATGACTCTCTGTTAGGTCATGTTAATAAATACATTAATAACTAAAGTAAACAAATGAGACCTTTTGTAAAGCATTACTGACACATATCTGTTGATATTGTGCTGACAACTCCACAAACCTTCCTCTTCTTCTGTTTCACATTGCCTGTGGTCACATCCGCTCTTATTACTCTGGAAAAATATTTCTGCTTTTGTGACAGTTGTACCATTTCCTGTTTCCCTACAGGCTTTCTCCAAAGGACATGAGGGTTAGATCCCTCCAGGAGCTGGACATCTATGGTTCCTCTCTCCTCTCATCCCACGGCAGAGGGACTCGTTCCTGTTCCTGATCCCCAAACCTCCCCCCTCCCCGAGTCTTTCCCTAATTCATGACCCAGCAGGATGCATCATCTGTGCGAGCTCTCTCTGAGCGTCTCCTCATAGCCTCGCACAAGGGCCAAGCGGAGCATGTGGTTCAGCTCATCAACAAAGGGGCCAAGGTAGCCATTACCAAGGTCAGTGTTATGCTTTAGTAATCTTAGTTATATAGTGAGGTCCAGAAGTCATTTTATTGTCATTCAAACATCTCTGTACATAGGATGAGCAAAATGCACTTCTATTCAGGTCTAGTCAAGTCAAGTCACCTTTATTTATATAGCGCTTTTTACAATACAGATTGTATCAAAGCAGCTTCACAGTGATAACATGAAAATAATACAGCAAAGTTTGTTTCTAGAAGAAAATTGCGTCAACGTCCACCTTAAGTAAGGCGGATCAATAATATTGTGGAATATTATACTACAGGGCTGTTGAATGCTTGATTCTGATTGGTTGAGAACGTTCTAAGGTGTGCAATTATTTTCAGGGAAACGCACGGCTAAAGTAGTTCCAGGCAGGTTTGACCGCATTACAGTTCTATATCACTGCGCGTAGTTAACTGTAATAACGGAAAATAGGAGACAATTCATAACAAGAAAAAAACATGCAGCCCCATGCGGTTGATCTGCAATTTTCGATGTCTAACTTCACAATCAATGGACACATACAGTTTAATTTTAATAAATAAAGTATGTAGTCCTATCTATAGGCTAAATAGAAAATAAAATTGAACATAGGCTATATAAATAAATTGATAGTCCTGCTGGGTTTTCGTAATTATTCCAGATAATATAACAAATAAATAATTATTGATAGGCCTACTTGTTAAAAGGGCTTTGTGTGTTTCATTTATTGGGTTATCTACTGTCAATTATAGAAAACAAGAATGAACGAATTAAAACAAATTTAATTAATAAATAAATAATAATATTGACACACATGCTTTTCTGTCTCATTATTGCAACATCTCTCTCTCTCTCTCTCTCTAATAACGGCATTAATAACTGCATAAAGCCGGGACACACTGACTAAGGCCAGTTATGAATGTAATTTGATACTTATGACTGATCATGCCCAAACGCGTGTTCAGCGCGTTCAGTCTGTAACTTAGCCTATTCACAGTCTGTGTTGCTACAGTTGATGGAAACAGTCAGTCTTCGAATGTTTCAGCAAGTCGTAAGTGTGTCCCCATCATTAGTCTGCTATCAGTGGCTCAAACCTCCGTTACTAACTCTAAAATGACGTTTTGGAATTAGCAACGGAGGCATGGGATTAGATGCGTAAGAAATTAGTCCTACATACAAGAGCGTTTTAATGACAAAAACTTGACAAACGTCTTGAAATCCATCATCTGAACAATGTTTCGAGGTGTGGTAACTGTAGTATAAGCGGAATAATTGACTTCAGGCCGTTGAATTATTAGAAAAATAATGCGCATTATTTTTCTAATAATTCAACGGCCTGTTGTCAATTATTCCTTACTTAAATGTCCCCAACTAAGCAAGCCAAAAGCCAAGGCAACAGTGGCGAGGAACCAAAACTCCATCAGGGACAGAATGGAGAATAAACCTTGGAGAAACCAGACTCAGTCGGGGCCGGGGGCCAGTTGGCCAACGAAGGAACAGTGTATGATTCGGGCAGCATTACAAGTCAGATTGGATCGGAACATTTAGAGTATTTATCCATTTCCATCTGTTTGGAAGTCGAAGTAATCACGCCGGTATGGAGACGAGTTGTTGAGGATCAGTGACGATGGCTGTCGTGTCGATGAGGCTGGCACTTCAGGATGAGTTGGGATGGGTCCAGGCGCAGGTCCACCATGGAGGTTCCCTCGGGATAAACAGGGAGACTAATATTAGCGTAGACGCCATCCTTCTTATGATGTAACGAGTACATCAGGATTTACGGGACGTGTTCCCGGTTCCGGCTGATCTAAACTATGCAGCCTAATTTTGAATTAAGGAAGTCTATAGTGTGTTATGTGTATGCTAGGCCAAAGAGATGTGTTTTTAGTCTAGATTTGAACTGACAGAGAGTGTCTGCTTCCCGGACAATGTTAGGAAGATTTTTCCAGAGTTTTGGTGCTAAATAGGAAAAGGATCTACCGCCTGCAGTCGATTTTGATATTCTAGGTATTATCAACTGGCCGGAGTTTCGAGATCGCAATAGACGTGAAGCACTATAATGCGTTAAGAGCTCGCTCAAGTACTGCGGAGCTAAACCATTTAGTGCTTTGTAAGTAATCAGCAATATTTTAAAATTAATATGGTGTTTAATAGGCAGCCAATGCAGTGTTGACAGAACCGGGCTAATATGGTCATATTTCCTGGTTCTGGTAAGAACTCGAGCTGCTGCGTTTTGGACTAGCTGTAGTTTGTTTATTAAGCGAGCAGGGCAACCACCCAGTAGGTGTTAATTTACATAAGAATATTGCATCTGAAGACTTTGGTCCTGTCGTAAATGGCTCACTTGTGGCCAATGGCTGCCTCGTACACGTGCCTGTGAAGTCCATTCATTCAAAACGCTTGTCCTACATAGGGTGGAGGGAACGCTGGAGCCTATCCCAGCGTCGTGAGCCGAAGGAAGGGATACACTAGGGGTGTAACGATATTTGAACCGAACCGAAAAACCGCGATACACCACCCACGATACGTATCGCGATACTCTCATGGCGAACCGAACACGCCCCGCCTCCTGCTGCCCCGCCCAGCCCCGGCTCATTGCACCTCATGTGTTATGTGTACACAACGAATAGGGCTGTTGCCTAACCACCATTAACCACATATAATCGCAATAAGCTCAGTGTTTTGTTACTTTTGATAATAAGCAAGCTGTAATCTTTCAAATTATGTCTATTTGATCACGAAATGCAAACAATAAATGCCGTTTTGGCGCTCTTAGATGTGGCGTGACAGATATCACTGTATGCATGCGGCAGCGCGGAGCGCGATCATCTCTTCCTCAGTTACAAAATAAACATGAATGGACACCCGAAGGTATGTTGAAAGATACAGTATACTTACTGAAAGGCATCATAACTCGTGTAAACACTCAATCAGTGTTTCAACAGCGGAAATACGTCAATAAAATGCTTAGTTTTTCACATAGCTTTATATTTACCTCAGGCAAGTCATTCAGTGTCCACAGCTTGCTGGTTTGCTAACTCTTTCACTAAATAAATGCTATATATTAGCCTATATATTATATTTTACTTAACCTGTTTATGATTTCTTGATTATTTAATGTATGTTTAAAATAGTTGTCATGAAAATAACAGCAACTGTGTAAATTATTATATAACAATAACAAATTAGAGTAAAAACATGTTAATGCAAAAATTGCCTTATGTGCAGTTTACATGTTTTCATACAATTTGTTATTTGAGTGTTGATTATTATTATATCATTTAGGCTAAAAGTCTAGGCTCTGTTGTTAAGCTTTAATGTTATAGTAATGTGCAAGTAAGGGCTGTAGTTTACAGCATTAGCAGATCATTTTGTTATCCTTGAGAAACGTTTACTTGTAATTGAATTAATTTAAAGACAAGGACACAATTTGTTCATTAAAGCACTGTTTAATAAAAAATAAAAGCAATTTTAGCTTTCTAAACCCCCCCCCCCCACCCCACCCCACCGAAATGAACCGAACCGAACTGAACCGAGACCTCAAAACCGTGGGACGAACCGAACCGCCAGGTTTGTGTATCGTTACACCCCTAGGATACACCCTAGACAAATGCGCACCTGTGAAGTCCCATTTGTGATATTAGGCATCAGAAGGTCGCTCGAGAGCCCTCTTTGTGTCTGCTATGTTCCCTCGATTAGGGCTGCACGAAATTGAAGAAAAATGCGATATGATGCAAGGAGGAGATCCAGTCGGATGATAAAATCTATTTTTATTTTCTCGCCACCAGACATAGCTACATATGAAACATATCTAGCTTTTTTGGTTTCGCACCCTAGTGTGAGAGTACATACAGATATCGTTCTGAACATACGTGTCAGGAAATCGTTGATCTCAATACAAATACAAAAAGCAAAGAAACTGCTCTTGTTACTTGCAATGCCTCGGGCGTTGCGTTCGAAGATGCAGTCTCAGATGAAAGTCTTAATGGCTTTTAATAGTTTATGGAGAGGAAGGTGTGTGAAGATGTTGTAACTTCAGTGATGTTAGTCTGACTCTGGCTGTTGAGAGAGTCTTCTCTTCTGCACATGGCTTGATGTGTTGAGGCCTGTCGGCGCCGCTGCGCTGGCCCACACAAACAGCACCCAGGAGACGCACAGGAGAGAGGAAGGCGACCTGTGCGGGAGCTCTTGAGCCTCCACTGAGGTCACACCTCTCGAGTTCGGCTTGACCAGTGAGAAAGGTGCGATTGTCGAGCGGAAATTGTTCCTCTTGTTTGGAAGCGGACTCATTTGCATGATTGGAGTAAGCTGGCAGCTTGGGTCCCTTTATGCACTGATTAATATAATAAGCACACAAGGCATCCTATAAGGAGGTGATGCACCAATGTGTAGAGGCATCACACAAGGATTCATTTGATAGGAAGATACCGATAAGGTTAGATCATCTAGTGGCTCAATCATAAAACATGCCTAAAACAAAACACAATACAAGAGACAATATACAAAACAGTAATTATAGAAACAATGTATTGGGGATATGCATGTTCATTCATAGTTTGTCTATGAATTAATGAAGAAAAGTGTTGTGTGTCTTTCCTATGGCCTGTGCTTTTGCATGTGGCCGACTTCCACATTCTTTTGAGCAATAAAACAGTCTTATCAGATGATTTCTCGTAGCTTGCCAAGGCAAGCAGAGGCCTGGTCCTCCATCTCAGTGTAACTTGCCATTCGGGGGCGTCCGACTATTTGTTAAATATAACACATATTTGTTCATCTAATTTGTCTCATCAGTACAGACAATAGACTCACAAAGCTTTTCATAATCATCACAGAAATTAGCATTTTTACCTGGATAAAAGTGGAAAAAGTGACATGAGCCAGTTAATGGGGTTGGTAACAACATTATCAGTTTATTGCACCAATAATGGTAATTAGCAAAAATGTCCCAATTGAGAGGTAAGCATTAATGTAAATGTAATTGCATTAAGGCTAAGGTATTATATTCTGACAGT